TCTTAGTTTCTTAGGTGATAATTTCCTAAATTCCCGATGAAAACATCAAATCGCGTAAGAAGTACCTTCTGCAAATGAAAGCGATTTTAATTCATCGAGTGTATTTAGTTGGGCGCCAAAACGTCCAGTTGGGCGCCATAACGTCTCGATAAAAAACATCAAATCGCGCAAAAAGTTCCTTCTTCAAATGAAAGCGACTTTAAATCATCAAGTATACAAAACGTCCAGATGAATATGATTATACTTGAATTAAGCCTAATGCTGATTACGATCAACGATATTGTTTATTGAAATTAAAATGGTGTATTTAATTCATCGAAAGTTGGGCGCCAAATGTAATTTTTTTTATTTATGTGAATTTTCTTAAATTTCTGAAAGACACACAACTGATTCAAATGAAACAGGTTTTTTATTCATCGAATAAATTTAGTTGGGCGCCAAAACGTCAGGTCGAAAAACGTTAAGGGCGAAAGAGGACCCCAGGCTTGGCATGTTAAGTTGGCTTTCTCTTATTGTAAAAGAATAAAGGAGGACTGTGTCCAAAATCAAATTTGACCCTTATATTCTTTTATAAATTGACATTTCGTATTAAGCCAACTTAACAGGCCAGGCCAAAATCCTCGTATGTGATTCCCACTTTATACATGAATTAAGAATAGGTATTCTCTTCAAATGATAATAACATGATTATATGTATTTTGATCTCCGAAACCAATTAAACGGAAAATTTATCTTAAGATCCTAATTCACATTTTTAAAATTTCCAATGAGATTTTCAAATAAACTCCTCCATCGAAATAAGAACCCATACATGTGGCAACCCCCTCCATTAATCAATGAGCGTAATTACAAATGAATGTGGAGAAACAAAAGAAGAGTGAGAATGCCTGCCTGTGGGAAAGAGTATACAAATTAACTATGATGTATGCATGCATAGTGTAGATGACAATGGCATTCTACATAGATGGATATATGTGTATATTTGTATGCTTGTCATGGAGGCAAACAGACAGACAGACAGCCAAACAATCAGTAAGACAGACAGATAGATAGACAAACGATATGTATGTAAGTTATGCGGTATTTTATTTTGTTATTTTGGGCGAGCCCCATTTAAGTTTCAGATCATCGTGAAGATCTTTATTTTTTTAAACAGCTTACAGATTGTCTGTAAGCATGTTTGGGTGTATGTATATAATAACAGTGTTTGATTGACACATTATTAGGAAAAAATGTATGTATGTGCGTTTGGTATGCTTGTAGGAATATATAAGATTTCATTCATATGTCTGTCTGTCTATCCACGACATGGATGGTGGTAGCGATGATGATGATGATGAACATTGAACCACAGTGGAACAAAGAGAAAAAGTATTTGTAAAAAAATTGTTTTCGATTTTCTCTCTTCGCTTACCGCTTCGATAAGATAAAGCTCTAAAAATATACGTAAACGAAGAAGAGAATGTGTGTGTGTGCGACCGCAAGAAAATATGAAGGTTTTATTTTATTTGCAGCTGCATTGGAGGTAAGGAGGTTTAATTAGTTTTATATTGTTGTTTTGTTTTTGGCTATAGGGGAGAAATTGTTTTTTTTTCTTTTTTGAGGAAGAAGATAAGCAAAAAATTTTGATAGAAATCTTGTTAGGCTCTATTTTTGGAGAAGGTAATTAAAAGATATTGAAATCTGATGTTGTAAAGAAATCTATGTAGGTGGTATATGAAATTATGGCTAATATTAGGTCTCTGTCAAAAATGTTGCATGACCGCTGAAAGACGATGACTTTGTTTCCGTTTTTTCGTTGGGCGCCAAATTAAAATATTTAAAAATTTTACACTTTTTATGTTAAAATTTATCCACCGAACAAGAATCAAATTAGCTGGTTGCAAACATGGGTAATTCAGACTCTAATGGGTGATATTCTGTCACAGTTTCTAATCGGGCGCCATAAAGAATTATTGAAAAATTGCGTTGCAAAGAAATCTATGAAGGTGGTAAATAAAATAAAATTTTGGTGAATAATAGGTATCTGTCAAAAATGTTACAATAGAGCTGAAATGCGAGGACTTTGTTGCGCTCTTTTAGTTGGGCGCCAAAATAAAGTGTTTAGAAATTCAACCTTTTTTTATTTTTTTCCAACGAATTATAATCGAATTCGTTGGGTAGAAAAAGGTTCAGGTTCAGACTATCATGGGTAGTATTTATAATTAATTTCTAATCGGGAGCCAGAAAGGAAATATCAAAAAATTGTGCTGTGAAGAAAGTATGAAGGAAACATAAAAAATTATGGCTAATATTAGGTCTCTGTCAAAAATATAGCAAAAAGACAAACAATCCACATTAGAAAATGATTGTAATTTTTTAGTTGGGCGCCAAAATAAAGTTGTTTTTATAAATTCGTACTAGAATTAGTCTTCGTGATAGAATAGGTCTCTGTCAAAAATGTTGCAATAGCGCTGAAAGACGATCCTTTAAGGGTTAAATTTTTTTTATAAATTTAACCCTTAAAATTCGTACTAGAATGGGTTGAATTCAGTCATAATCTCTAATCTACTCGGCTTAAGGAACAAATGTTCTTTCACAAGCCAGCTAAGTAAGTCTAATTTAAGTCCGGCTTTTAAACTTAAATAATGTAATATGTTGGGCGCCAAATAAAGGAAATTCTTAGATGTGTGAGCTGAAACCTAAATAATCTTAAGTTGGGCGCCATTACCATAATATTTGCCGGATTGACTCTAGTCCAAAAGGCTGATTAGTTCCTAAACCCAAAATTATTTGTCCAAAATTTAATGTATTTTATCCGTTGAGAGTTTTTTAGTTGGGCGCCAAATATTCTTTAACCGAAAATATATTGTCCGAATTATTTTCAATGGGATTCCGAGACGTCAAACGATTTCAATAGCCACCAACTTTTCCTGCTTAAATGGAATTGATTTAGTTGGGTGCCAAAAGGCCTAGTTGGCTCAGAATTCTAATTGTCTGTAAACAAAGGTAAGAAAGACATTAGTTCTAAGTCTTGGTAGGTCACACCTAATGCAAGGATTCTATTTAATTCTTCCAGTGCATTTAGTTGTTCGCCAAATTGACCAAGTCGTCTTGGGTTGGGCGCCATACCATATTATTTGTCCGATTGAGAATCGTCGAAACGACTGATTACTTTGAAACCGAAAACAGTTGAGCGCAAAATATCCTATTAACCGAAGATATATTGTTCTGATTTGAAGCTATCCAAATTATTTTAAACGGCATATACATTAGAACTTTTTGCCGGGTTACCCTACATTATGAGGATTTATTTGAAATATATGCAAAGGAATTGACAATTGAAACCCACTGGGTTAACGAAATCCGGTTAAATGTAAACATACTGTTAAACGAGATTCCAAATTTTCTTGAAGTGCTTTAGTTGGGCGCCAAATGACTCGGAATTCTAATTGTCTGAAAACAAAGGTCAGAATGACATTAGTTGGAAGTTCCAGTAGTTCACACCTTAACCTGTGTTTTTATTTTCTTCCAGTGTTTTTTTTTTAATTGGGCGCCAAATGTACCAAGTTGTCTTCGGTTGGATGCAATCACATTATTTACCGGATTGGCACTTGTCGAAACGACTGAGTTCTAGTAACTCACATTTAATACAAGAAATGTATTTAATTTTTCCAGTGTTTCTAGTTGGGCGCCAAATGGACCAAGTGATCTTGAATATATATTTTTATTGTGCGCAATTACCTAAATTCCCGAAGAGACTATAAAGAACTGTCTTCTTCAAGTGAAAGTGATTTTAATTTATCAGGCCCATTTAGTTGGGCGCCAAAATGTCTGGTTGGATGGTTTATTAAAATTATAATGCCCTGAGAATAAAAAAAAATTGGAAATCATTTCCTTCATCGATTATGTTTACTTGAAACTCCAAACGACCGAATTAACCGGAAATAGTTATTTGAATTATGTTCAAACTTCCATCACCAAGAAACGTGGCTTTTAATTATCGTACATATTTAGCTGGGCGCCAAATTGTCTAGATGCATTAAAAATAAGTAAGAAAATTTTATTTAATTAGGTTGGGCGCCAAAAAATTGGTTGCGAAAGCAGGGACATATTTAGTCCAAAGTACTGACAGATCATCTGAAAAACAAGTAATTTATATAATTTCTCCAGTAAATGAAATTGGAGAGCCTAGTAGAGCCTAGTTCCTGAAGCGGTTGGAACTTTTTCGGTTTGTTCCGCAATATTAACGAGTTCATTCATTTTTGAATCAAAATAGTTTGAATCAAAACGAACTAGGTGAACGAGAGCAAAAAGGAATGACGGGAGTAAAAGGAACTAGTTGTACGAAATAATCGAGCTTTCTGCGGAATTTTTCGTTTGAATTATGTCGTTTCGGAACGACCCAACTGATTTGGGCGCCAAATCCCCTTTTTTACCGTAATCATACTAGATCAGTGCCAATCCATTATGGGAAGTAAGTAGCCTGATTAGACATGTTCTCTTCCTTATCCTTTTCTTAGGACTTTAATTTTGTTCTTCAAAATAATAATAATAGCTAAAAAATTTTCAAACCCCTAATCTAACTGGAAAATATTCGTATAAAAGCTGTTTAAAAATGCGGACAGAATAAAAGTTTTATCATTGGCGTTGTCTTCAACGAGTTGCCAAAATAAACGAAATATGATGCGGTTGGCATCACTTGGATGGGTGAAGTTTTTTGTTGTTTGGCAACACGAAACGATCAATAAAAAAACGTTGCTTCTTTTTGGGTGTTTGAACCAAACATGTCGTAAGTCACTCTTCGTATGTTTCGCAATGTAAATCGTGTACATATTTTATCCCCTGAGAGTTTTTTTAATTGGGCGCCAAATCTCGCAAGTGACCTTAAATATATGTTTGAAGCTTAAAATAATAAAGAAGTATATCTAAAATCTTTTTATGTGTCTCTCCTTTGCGTCCTTGCTTTTCCTATTTTTTTAATGACTTATAAAAATTATTTTTTTCCATATTCCACTTACCGACAATGAACTTCTGCCACCATTATTTTTATTTGTACGATCCTCCAAAATATTCCGTTTCGCCTTGCTGGAGATGTCACTCAATTGCGTTTCGGTGCTGACGCTTATCGAACGTTGCAACGGGGTGATTTTGGCACGTTTTACATTAAATGAACAACGTAAAAATCGACCCAAATCAGAGGCAGAACTGTGGCTCATTCTTGGTGGAGTTATTTTAAACGATGGTAGGAGAGGTGGTTGTAATTCTATCGATGATGTTGAATCACTGGAACTATTTAAATTGTGAGCCATTAATTCAATTGACTCTTCAGGCGCTGCATCATCGTCAAGAGATTCACAAGATTTCAAAGATTTGCAACCCATATTTTGAAATAATTCTGAATTTGAATGATGCGATGTTTCACTAAAATTGTGGGGATAATAGGGTAAATCAAAATGCTCCTCCTCCAGTTCTTCAGATGGCCATAGATTTTTCTTGTGATTTCTTAAAATCGGTATTTCTAATGATGACGATAATTCGATGGAATGTCTTAAACTTCGAGATGCTGAACAATTTCCGGATATTATTTGATCATTTATGGGTAAATTGTAGTGGAGATTTTCTTCGGAATTTATTGATTTTTTCGGTGTTGATTTGTTACTTCTGTCGTAGAATTGTAATGCCTCAAATTCTTGTACAAATCTCAATAATGCTTCACGATCTATTTCACGAAAATCTCCGTTTTGTTGTGGATTTTCTATATCTTTCGCTCGTGTGTTGGTTGGTATATATTTCACCTCAAAACTGGATTCAAAATTACTAGAATCATTTAGATAGGCAATAGACGGATGAAATGGATGTAGCAACATGTTGATGTGGTTTTGTGTATGACCTTATGTGGATATGGTATAAATTTGTGATGAGATGATGATGAGGATGGTTTCTAGGGGTTTGTGGTAATGAACTAAAATCGAAACAAACAAATGATAAAAATGATATTATTAGTTAAGTATGAGTAATATATAATGAGATGTATTAGTAATAATATAATTGTTTATAAAAAAATGTTTTCAAAACTAAAAAATATTTATTTTATTATTAAAATGAGAAAAAAGTGAATTTTGTCGAATTTTCGTTATAATTCGATCGATCAGCTGAATGGTTCAATGCTTTTTTGTTTATATCTGTCTATCAGCTGATTGAATTTTGAATCAGTCCATTTATAGAGACCTTAAAATATTCGCTATGTTCACATATCCCACAACATTACGAAACATTATTATTATCTGAGTGGTTTTTTGTTTGAATCCGTCGATCAGCTGATGTACTTCATATTGTAGATTGTTCATTTTTTTAATGCATTTGCATAGCTGAGTTGATCAAAGTCAATTTATAGAGCCCTAAACATATTAGCTGAGGTTATGTTCACATATCCCACAACATTATGAAAAATTATGATTTTCTCAATGTTTTTTGTTTTAATCCGCCGATCAGCTGATGTACTCACAATTTTAGATTGTTAATTTTTTTAATTAGCTGGGGTTATGTTCACATATCCCACAACATTACGAAACATTATGAATTTCTCAATGTTTTATGTTTTAATCCGCCGTTCAGCTGATGTACTCACAATTTTAGTACATAAGGTCCTTCTGTTTTCACAAGGTTTTTAAGTTTAATAATTCGACCAGCTGATTTGCTTAAAGACCGTTTATAGAATCTTAGGGTTATGATTATAAATTCCATGACACTATGAACAATTATGATTTGCACATTTTTTATTTTAATCCATCGTTGATTTGATTTGCGAAAGTCTTATTATTTTAATCAGTAACTTTTTGTTGCTTATTTACTATGCTATCAGCTGATTTGCTTAAAGTCCACTTATAGATCATCAAAAATATTGTCTATGATTATGTTGACATACCATAAATGAAATTGCAAACATCACACTCTAACAAAATATTTGTTGTCAGATTTTAGTTGTAATCCGTCAATGGCTGTTAAGCGATCAGCTGATTTGCTTAAAAACCACTTATAGATCCCTAAACATGTAACCTAAGGTTATGTTTACATATGATTTGATTTGCGAAAGTTTTTTTATTTTAATCATTTATAGATCTTCAAAAATATATTCTAAGGTTATGTTTACATACCATAAATGAAATTACAAACATCATACACTAAAAATATATTTGTTGTCAGATTTTAGTTGTAATTGATGAGCGATCAGCTGATTGGTTTAAATTCCATTTATAGGACCCTAAACATATAACCTAAGTTTATGTTTACATGTCATAAATACTGGTTTTCATACAAGGTCAATTTATTATGCCATCCGGGAAGATCAGCTGTTTCTCAAGTTTATTGTCAAAATTTATTATTGTGAATTGGCTTCATATTATGAAAACGTATGCGGTGTACATACTAGAATTTTTGAATGGCACTCTTGCCCAAATTTTGCTTGTTTGATAGTGTGGCCTCACATGTTTGTCATTCATCTGACAACCACAAACATATTTATGGTTGTTGGACAGTCAGTAATCGATAAAAAAGTTGACAGTCAAAAATGATAGTGTGTACACCGCTTTAGTCCAAGGCATATTAATAAGGTCATCCATGGACCCCAACTGGATATCAGCTGCTTCTTAAGTTTACTGTCAAAATCCATTATTGTGACTTGACTTCCACCATGCATACGTATACAAAGTCTAAATTTTGACATTAGACTTGAGAATTAACAGCTACCTTTTGGCTAGCTAGGTGACCATATTATTAGATCATGACATAGGCCCTCTTACCAATTTATTTATTTTTTTTTTTTTTTGACAAAAATCGATTGCTACACAAATGTCACTTATCAGCTGATCTATCCCTGTCCGTTCTCGTATTGAAGAAAACGCATAAAACATTGGAATTTTATAAAGGATAAATCGAAAATAATTTCGATTAGAGGATTCTTACAGTTCCTACAAAAGAGCATTTGTTATAGCATACTTATACTAGCATTTGATTTATAGCATTTATTAAAATAAATAATTAAATTAATAAATTTATAAAGGGCAAATCGAGAACAATTTCAATGAATAGGTAATTTTTGCAGGTTCTGAAACAGAGCAATAATGTTTAGACAAAAGTCGATCTCTAAAGCCCTATATTAATGTCTAACAAAGACATAGAAACCGTAAAGACTCGACAAAATGCATTTTGAAAAAATAGTTTATGAAAACATATCCAGGGGGAATCAGGCATAACAGAGGCATGTTAAGAATAAAAACGCCAATACGCGAAAATGTCTGTATAAAATGTAAATAAAATCACAGGTCTGCACTCAAAATATATGTGTTCATTTTATAAGCTTAAGATATAGCCCTTAAAACGTTTAATACTGTTTGCTCTGTTGTTATGATATCGTAACAACAGAGGAAAAGCCATGTATTGGAAATTGCTTACGTATCAATTGTCCTATCTTTATACTTTTATGTCTTTGTGTCTAATATATAATTCCCGTTATTTCTATTTATTTCAAAAGGTTTATTTTATGATTAAACTACGTTTACACATATAAAATCTAGTTTTTTATACGTCAATTAAAACCACAATAGATTTATTTATCATGGATATTTATAAATAACAAAAATGGTTTTTACATATATGAATTGTGGAAAACCACAGAGAGCTTATTTTTTGAAACCACCACACCGCCTCAATGAAAGAAGGCAATACTGATCGTGATGATGGAGATGATGCATGGACAGCAAAATGATTGACAACGTAGATTACGTGACAAATTGAATGTACAAGGGAGATTAGTAATTAATAAAACGAGAAAAAGACTGATTCTCGATATGGGGAAATAACGAAAACTCTCAATAACAATAAATTCCAACATTTTTGTGTTGCAACAGATGGTGGCCAATAACCGCAAACTAGTTTTTTGTTCTTGTCTGATGATGATTTATTATAAATTTTCCATATGGGGGGAAATTACGAAAGCTTTTGTAACATTGCATTCTAATAATGTCTTACTTTTTCTGTCGAAACAGATGATTGATTACCGTACATTATTTCATTACTTTCAATGACGTGTAATAGAAAAAATATTTAAATTTGATCAGCTGATCGGCGATTAGTTTTTTCCTTATCGATGATGTGTAAATAATATATATATATATATATTGTGGTCGAATCGATCTATTATCAATATAAGGAAATAATGGACACTCTTCATAAGATTTATTTCAAATATTAAGTATTTTTTCTGTTGTAATTTTTCATAAATATAGATGACGTGTAATAAAAAAAATTTTAAGTTATTTCAGTCGAGATTTGAAATCAGCTAGAAATTCCTAGATGTTTGTGTTGTAACAGATGATGATCGATAAACGCAGATTATGTTTTTTTTTTGACGATGAGGTGTAAAAATATATTTTGCAATCTAATCGCTCATATTTTTAATATGGGACAATGATATTTGTTAAAATTTTATTTTAATGATACCCATTTTTTCTCTTGAAAAATATGTTCGATTAATGTAGATTATTTCATTTCTGACGACAACGTGCAATGTAAACAAATTATGTTTAATCAGCTGAGACTATGAATCAGCTGTTTTATGAATTACTATATTGTAAACAACTCATTATACATGAGAGTTTGTGAAATATAGTTACAATTTGTTTAAATTCTACTATAATATGAAAACAATTTCTTGATTTTTATTGCGGGATATATTGCAGTATAGAATGAAGTATTGAACAAGTAATAAATATGTAGGTATGTAAACCCTCAATACAGTTATTCTGATATTATTTGCCTTTGCAACTATACAATATGTAATATGGGATACATACTTTAAAATTGGCGCTACATCTTACTATTAATAAATGGTCTTGAATGTTTTCTAAATCATGCCAGTGTACAAATAAACTAATTTTACTACTTTCTTACAAAATATACTGTTTAAAACAAACGCGATCTATAAATCCCTTTACGAATGCCACTCAAAGACATAAAAGTATAAAGATACGACAATTGATACGTAAACAATTTCCAACAGATGGCTTTTCCTCTGTTGTTACGATATCATAACAACAGAGCAAACAATATTAAACGTTTTAAACGCTATATTGCAAGCTTATAAAATAAAAACATATTTTTTGAGTACAGATCTCTAATTTTATTTACATTTTATACACACATTATCGCGTATTTGCGTTTTTATTGTTAACATGCCTCTGTTATGCCTGACTCCCCCTGGATATTTTTCATAAACTATTTTGTCAAAATGCATTTTGTCGAGTCTTTACGGTTTCTATGTCTTTGTGCCACTGATAGCATGGCACAATTTCATAATGTAAATCAATTCACAATAATGGATTTTGACAGCAAACTTGAGAGACAGCTGATATCCAGCTGGTCTCCCTGAGTGACCTTATTAATGGACTTTGGTTCATTTATAGAGATAGTAAAGCTAAGTTCTCACTACGCAAATATTAGACTTAAATAGGTTTTACTTTGTTTGTCCAAAAAGTGTGAAATTTGAACACTTTCAATTTTGTGTTCGCATTACACTTAAATATTTGACAAATTTTGTTTGCCAAAGAACATATATTTAGAATTTGTAAAATCGAATGGTATCCTCGTATGGGTGTTCGTAGCTCAAGGTGTACCCAATGGATTATTTTCTAAACGATATTTCCCACTCAACTGGAATTCAATATATTTAATTACAGTCAATTGGGTAGGAAAATTTGTCTAAAATCCTTAGAATTTCGAAAGGCACATTTATATGATTGCTATACTTAATGATGGACAAATATAAATTATTTTTTTTGTGCGAAAATTAAAACTCCCAAATATCGAATTA